CAAATTGCTTTCCGAGCCTTAATTTCCTATTAGTTCATTAATCTCTCTATTCAGAACACCAACAAGACAGCTGATGATAATTCCGGAGGAAGTGGCCACTCATTGAACAGCAGGGGAGGAGGAGGGGGCTTAAGACATGAAGTTTCTGGTTTCCTGGGTGGAAGGGTATTCCCAACATTAATTGGTCAAAGTGTTAGCTTTCATTAGTTGCGCTTATATTGAGCCGGGTCCATGAGAGCACTTTACTGAGCAATTTCCATATCTTTTCCTTTTTAACATTTTTAATAGTTACTTTTCTCATTGCTGTGACAAAAACATGACAAGAGCAACTTAAGGGAGGAAGGGTTTATTGTGGCTCACAGTTTGAATGGCTCACAGTCCATCCTGGTGGGGAGGACATGGTGGCAGGAGTGTGAGGCTCTAGTCACATTGTATCCACAGTCAGGAGGCAGAGCGAGATGAATGTTGGTACTCAGCTTGATTTCTCCTTTTTATTCAGTCCAGGCCCCCAGCCCATTGGACGGTGCCACCCTATCTAGAAACTCCCTCACAGTCATGCCCAGGGGTTTGTCTCTTGATTCTAGATCCTGTCAAGTTGACAATGTTAATCTTTACAACAATCCAGGTAGGTAGATGTGATGAATATCATTTTATAGAAAAAGAAACTGAGACACAGAAATGATTACATGGCCGGTTGGTGGTAAGGCCAGGGTTCATAGGCCCTGTACATCTGCCCTGAAGCCTGGGCTCCTGGACACATGTCACATGTTCTCCCCTCTGCATGAATTTCTGAGTAGATGGTGATGAACAAACCCAGATCTGTAAAGTGAGGCTGGTGGATGTCAGAGAAGAGCTTGGGCCAAATCTACAAAAGCTTTGTTGTTATGAAAACACCTCATACTGTGAAGGTCCCGTTGAATAAACTTCCATCCTGATTGTTCTTTTTCTCAGGCTAGAACTTCTCCACAAAACAGTGATTCTCAAGGTCCAGGAACCCCTGCATCAGTGCTGATTGCCCAACACCTGCACCTTTCTGAGGTGTGCCTTGGAGCTATGCACTGAATCCAAGGCTCTGGGGACATGGTGAGAGAGCTGCTTCAATAAACCCTCAGGAGCATTCCAATTCAAGCTTAAGCTTGCGATCCCATGGCTACTGAGTACTGGTCATCCCAGCACCCAGGAGGCTAGAGTAGAGGGTGGTTAGTTCAAGGTTAGCCTGTGCTACCTAGCAAAACACCCCCCCCAAGTCATAACACCAAAAATTGGAGCCCCATATGAACAAAAAGAGAAAGCAGAACAAGTGGGTAAACTCACAGACACAGATTGACTGGGACTGTGTCAAAAGGCAGGGCTAAGGTGGAGAATGTCTGACCAGCCCTGAGGTGCTTCTGAGGATGCTGGGAGCCCCGTGGAGAAGCTAGTTCAATACCCATCCTCAGGGAGTGTCTTGCATACACAGGAGGAAGGCTGCTTGAGCTTTAAAAACTAAAAGGCTTGCCCAGGGTTGTGGCCCACACCTTTAACACCAGCACTCAGGAGGCAGAGGCAGGAGAATTTCTGTGAGATTGAGGCCAGCAAGTTCCAGGGGGAGCTGGGGCTAGAGGAGGACCCTGTCTCGAACTAAAGGCTCATTCCCTTCAGGGAAGATCTAGATGTATGTCTGCAGCCAGCTATAGGGGGGCCATAAGTGTGGGCCTCGTCTCTGGTTTTCCCTGAGTTCTCACTCAGGCAGGGGGACTTCCTAGATTAAAACTTGATTAAAACTGCAGCCCACACTGTGGCCTCCATCCCTCTGTCCCTCCGTCCTAGCCTTGCACCCTCCTCCCTCCTCCCACCCTCCCCCCTCC